GAGCTTGCGAGGTCAAGGCTGATCCTTGCATGTCCCCGTTGAATCCCAATTTCATGTCCCGCTATGCCTCTAAATATACCCACAGTTGAATATGCCTATGAACCTTTAACCATATGGCGACCAAGCCACCATCGCCAATCGAAACACGAACTGAGCCCGGCCGGGTCATGACAGTTGTCCTGACACTCTGCCACACAAAGCATAACAGACTAAAAAAACTCGCAAAGACATTCGAGAGCAAGCCTGGCCCAATTTCTAGCCACCAGAACTTCATGAAGACAATATGACTCTTGGCAATCCTCTAGTATGGCATGTGGGATTTTAAGAATGGCCAAATCCCAGCCTAGGTCCAAATAGGTTCTTGTTGCTGTCCTGTCTGCCGTGTCCTCATCTGCCCCCTGGATGCGCCACATGGCATGTATCCAAGCGCTCTCTTAAGGCGCTAACTCCTTTGAGTCTTGGGATGCAGGTCTGAGGCCTGGGGGGGGTTAGGGTTTAGGGTTTGAAATGCCAAGCGCCGAGCCAGACTTTTTTGGGGCATTGGGGTTTGAATCGCGTGGTCTCAGGACATGGGGTTCAGGGTTTCGTGTCTGCGGCGTTTGGGTCAAATCTGTGGAGCATGCAGCGGCACTTTTCTGTGCCTTAAACTCGAGTGAAACTTTGGAGCACGCTAGGGCTTGCAAGAATCAGTATGACAACATCTTGGGGCAAATAAGGAGGTTGAGGGAATGCTATTACTGCGCTGTCCTAGCTATGCAGAACACACGCCATGGAGCACAAGCAGCTCACAAAGTTCAGGTGTAGGAAGGGTTGTGTAGCCAAGGGTCTTACAATTTTGCAGGTCTTTGTTTGAAAGCTTCTGAACATACCGGGGTGGGTGGGGCTGTCAGGTCCCGCAAACAAGCAACTTCGGGCAGTTCAGCGCTTAGGGTTTGGTACAGCACGGGGATCCTGAATCTTGGCATGACTCAAAGCCCTCAACCCTGAACCCCACTAAGCCCTAATCCTTCAAATCTTGTCCTTAGCACTAGCCCCCCTAAACCTAAGCCCTAAACCCTGACCCACTAAAGAACACCGTATGTGGAAGCGGCCTAGCTAATCATGGCGACAGGATCTATTTCGCAAAGGGATTCTGTTACAGAAAGGGTATTTAGGTGCATAAAGGCGATGCATTCAATGAGATAAGATATTTTTGTCTCATGCTTAGGGTTGCAAGTGTACCTTCCTCCAACTGACATTCAAGGTGAACTCTGTTTGTGCTGTTGTTTTACACATTTTCCTATACGTTTTGGAGGGGTAGATTTAACATCCAAGCGGGTCATATTGAGCTCACCTGGACATGTTCTAGGACTATTGTCTCAGGGTTCCTGAGGCTTGAACGGCAGAGAAAAGAATGCAATCCAGGTTCGGCTCTGATCAACCTGTCGTATAAATCTTCTGCCACCAAAACCCAAATTAGAAACCCTAAACCCCACAACTTATAAACACTACACTACACTTCAAGCACAACCCAAACCTAGCCTTGCTTGCAGGGTCAGAGGACTTCTTCTTCACCTAAGCAGCAATCGCAATCCTCTCTGGACTACTGCAATGTAGGAATTGGTCCCATACAGATATAATACAAAAACTTCCATTCTCTTTTCAATCCTTGCTAACTAGCTTCAATTCTGTTTTCCATTCTCTACTAGCCACCGATAAGAGGTATTTGTACGGCCCCGCGCTCTGATCCACTTCGATGCCTCGACCCAACCCTGTCGCTGGTGGACGGGTGAAAGGTCTACAGCTGCTGCTTGTCGCCTGCGCTTCGAAGTGAATGTGGCTACGAGGCATATGAAGACGTCAAGGACGAAGGATGAAAAGGGTTGTACTACCACATGTAGTATACATCTTCTTTTCCATGGAAGATGCACAGGTGTACTGTCTTAGTCTTGGGGGTGCAGGCCTACTTTTCCAATGCCAAACGAATATGCAGAGTGTAGAGTTTAAGCCTGCGCTCTGAACGGAACAACAGGCACAGGGGTCTTGCATGGGGATTGTCCAAAGGGATGCTGTGCATAGTGTACGCAGTCTAGGGTTTCAGCCTAAGCACTCACAAACAAAAACAAAGGTTGACTCAACGAAGCCCCAGTCGCATCTGTAAGCAACGCGCGCAGCCGGCACCAACGTGCGACAGAGGCAGGGCTCAATGTTCCAGCAATCGTAGCGGGAGCACGTCGTCTTGACATCACGCTCCTCGGCGCTCGGATGTTGAATCAGCATGGGAGATCGATGGGGCGCACAGCTCAGCCTGTCATTGCCTCGCTTGTTGGCATGCTGGTGAACGCACAGCTCCAGGCTAGCGGCAGCCTCTATGCAAGCTTGCAAGCTGTCATGAGACTGCCGTACCCAGAACTATCGAGAACTCAAAGATTGGGAAAAAGAAGTACGGAGGAGGCAAGGAAGGGCAGAGGAGGAGCGGGGAGGTGATGTAGGTCCAAATTTGCCTACTATCTCAAAGGGGGTCTGTAGCGTTTTCGCAAAAGCTCTGATGCTTCCGTGGGCTCGCAGCTCCCCACTGACTCGCAGGGAAGCCTGCGCATACCAAGGAAGCATCAACACTCATTCCTTGTCTTGACTGGCTCTTCGACCTTACTCCTGTCACCCCAATCTGGGCTCTAGTAGGGATGTTATGAAAGTCTCTCGATATTGCGGGTGGTCTTTATGTAGGTGCCCTCAAGTTGAAGAATTCCTCAAAGACTCCTTGGAAACTTACGCCCAGGGCTGCCGGTCCGTGCGAGACGCGTGCGGTTACTGCTGCTACCAAGTCATGTTGTGTCCTGTCGATGCCCTCTATATTGAGGCATTTAGGCTGCTAATGACCACGACCCTGTGCGGAGTGGCTCGCAAGCAAATCCACCATACTTTTTGGATGCTGATGAGATTGAGGAGGTGGGCAGACGAAACATCAAATACTGAAGATAAGCGGAGGAGGTTAATAGCTCTGAATGCCCTTCACGGCTCTGCAATGGTCGCCTAGTCGATGGCCGTGCACATCGACAAGAAGTTCGCAAAAGCCATGCTAAAATCCACAGGCATAGGGGACCAGCAGGGAAATTCGAACCAACAAGCTAAAGGAGCTGCTGCCTGGATTGCGCATGTGCTTCAAGAGAACAGTAGTTTGCGATGTTCTCGGTCGTCACCGAAGGTAGCGGAGCAACTCCAGCTACGCCAAAGCAGAGTGGCATGAGGACGCAACGCCAACAACGGGTTGCCTAGCAATCAAGATGGGCGTGGTGTTGAGGCAGCAGGTTAAGAGCTTCCAAGCGTATGCCCAAAAAAGGGCGCTTCTTCATAGATGGAAAAACGGCACGCCCGAAAACCATGTGAATGTCATTGGTCTTCTAAGCCTCCTTAACTTAAGTGAAGAGATCCCCAGAGCACAACCGTACTAGAAACCATAGGCAACGTGAGGGGCTCTCTCGAGCAAACATCCAAGATCAGACAATGTTGGCCACTTGGCCACCTCTAAAGGTCGCAGAAGTCCGCGCTACTTGCTCGGGTAAGGGCCTTACCCACATGTGGCAGCCTAGGAGGGCACTCCACGTACAAAAGCAGCTCAGCTAAAATCAACAAAGCCCAACGCACAAATTGTAGGCTTCAAGCTTCATGTACTTGGTGGGCTACTCGGCCTACCCTAACAAAAAGACCCGGAGTTGAAGAAGGCATCTGCACCTCCGGGTTGAAGTGGATGCTTAGGATGTAGGTCTCACACATGGCTTCTGATTTAAGGCTTCAGGGCCTGGAAGCTTATGCATCTGTGTTTCTGGCACGAACAGGCAAGATCGCTGCCATGCAGCAAGCGGGGATTTTGCTTTTGGATCTATCTTGACCTGAATCTTCTGGCTTCGTGTCATCTGGGAACTTTGCAAGAACGGCCAGCAGTGGATCTCCCAGGAGCTGCTCTTGAAAGAGAATTCTCAAACTCTGAACACTCATCCATTCCCGATGCCACCGGTTGTGGGGCTTGGAGCAACTCGACAAAGAACGCTAAGGACTAGTGCGATGGCAAGTTGAAAAAAACGCAATATGCGGGGAGATCTCCTGCATTGCCGGTTGTACAAAGTGTTTCACAAACTGCTGCGCCTACCGCGCTTAGGGTATGGCAGAAGTTTGCATCAGACTTAAGGGCCGAAGTTTAGGCCCTAGGCTGCGAGTGTTGAACCTCATCTCCATAGGATCCTCTTGAAATAAGAACCCTTGATGCGGCAAACCCACTCAAAGGGACGGGTTGGCCAAGCTTTCTTGAACAATGCCTTGTGAGAAGCCCTTTGCCGGAGCAGTATCACCAACCACAGCTCATGTTGCATGCTTCAAATTGACCAGGGGCTCTCAAGAGGTCTTGGCAGGTTGATTCCATGCTGCGCACTTCCACCCAAGCATTTTGAAAT